AAACGTTTCTCCCACAAAACGCTACGTCCAGATGAACAGATTCAACTTTTGTAGATTTACTTTCCTGGATGATTGAGCGTGCATCTAGCCTTTTGGATTTAATTCTTTTTGATACACCCTGTATTTGGACTGTGTATTTTCTACTATAACTTTTTTCATTGTTATTTCATGAATGATTGTTTGTTAATATAAATGAACATTTTTATGCTTTCATTTTGTTTGTTCTCTCCATCAGATTCCTGTCCACTCACTATTGATTCAGACACAGTACACAGTAGGATCAAGCTGTCTGACAACAACAATGAGGCTATGTATGTTATGGAGGATCAGTCATATCCTGATCATCCAGACAGATTTGACCGATATCCTCAGCTGCTGTGTAGAAATGGTCTGACTGGTCGCTGTTACTGGGAGGTCGAGTGGAAAGGAAGGGTTCATATATCATTGAGTTACAGAAGCATTGGAAGGAAAGGAGGCAGTGACGACTGTGTATTTGGAGAAAATCAGCAGTCCTGGAGTCTTTTCTACTATGATGGTGGTTACTCAGTCTGTCACAGAAAAGAAGAAACATCCATCACCACCACCATCCTCTCCTCCTCCACTGCCTCTAACAGAGTAGCAGTGTATGTGGACTGTCCTGCTGGCACTCTGTCCTTCAACAGAGTCTCCTCTGACACTCTGATCCACCTCCACACCTTCAACACCACATTCACTCAAACTCTTTATCCTGGTTTTGGACTCTGGTCTCCTGGTTCCTCAGTGTCTCTATGTTCTCTATAGGCGTAAGAAGGTCTCCTTGGTCAGAGAAATCATCATTTTTATTCGTTCTGCCTTCAAAACATTTTGGGAACATATACTGTCTTTTCACAGTGGTTAGAGTGTACAGGGTAGCTATTTAGAGAAGACAGAACATGGAGGCTGTGGAGATTAGGAAATTATTTTACTGTTACTATTCATAACCATTATCATTACTATTGCATTACTTATCATTTATCATTATCATTTCATCGAAGCATTTATTGAAGCTGTTGATGTTACCTTAAAGTCAGTATTTCAGCTGTTAGCTTAATTAGATAACAATCTTTCATTGCAGGTGCAACTGTAATCATGTTATACACATTGCATTTTTGTGCTAATTAAAGAGTTGAAGCTCGGTCAGTTAATTGATGATGGTCTGAAGCTTCGGGCAGCGCGACGTCTGGCCGATCTATTGAGTAATTTAAGGTGACCCAACCTATGAGAGGATTGCATACATGCTTACAATACACTACATATAACCTGTAAACAGAAGAGAGGCCTGTGTGCACTCAGCAGCCTGCTGCATTGGAGTTTTCCTGGTAACAGATGACTCAGAATAAGTCAGGAAGTATGCTTCTAAAATGTCTTTGTTTGTCGAGTGAGGTCATGCACTGAGGTCAGCATTTCTTTTAAGCAAAAAAAAAA